GCTCTGCATCATCTCCATTGAGCCACCACCACTCTGCACCATCTCCATTGAGCCACCACCACTCTGCATCATCTCCATTGAGCCACCACCACTCTGCACCATCTCCAGGAAACCACCGCTGCTCTGCATCATCTCCATTGAGCCACCACCACTCTGCATCATCTCCAGGAAACCACCACTGCTCTGCATCGTCTCCATTGAGCCACCACCACTCTGCATCATTTCAAGGAAACCACCCCTGCTCTGTATCATCTCCATTGAGCCACCACCACTCTGCACCATCTCCAGCAAGGCAGCATCACTCTGCATAATCTCTAGGAAACAACCACTGCTCTGCATCATCTTCAGGAAACCACTGCCGCTCTGTATCATCTCCAGGCATCCACCGCTGGTCTGCATCATCGTCAGGAAGCCACCGCCGTTCTTCCAGTCTTCATCATTGTAAGTGTTTTACTATGGTCATGTTTTAGAATTATAATGTTGTTGTCAAGTCAAGTCACAGTTATTTATATAGCACATTTAAAACAGTAACTGTTTATCAAAGTAAAGTTGTGGTTAAAGTCCTCATTGATAATACCATTTTATTTCACAGCACTCCTCAAAAATATTTTAATGAACCAGGAAATGATGATGGATCAGATTAAAATAATTCATAAAACGATCCAGGGATTACAAACTCCAGCTGAAGATGATTTGTCACACAACTCATTCCCGCTAAACGATCCACAGTCTGTTGAAGACATGGAAATTCAACTTCGGGACAACCCTGAACTTCACAAACAAATGGTAAGAATGTGAATAATACTGGTACTTCAAGAGAAATTGATTTTGGTGAGCCTGTTGACCTACATGTAATAGATAAAAAAAATTATCACAATGGTCTATACTTGTGTACATTTAATTTTTTTTAAAGAAAACTACTTATATTCCTTAATTTATTTTAAGTGTAGTGTATACAGTATAATTATCTCATTTAAGGGGCCAAAATATTAATTCCATTGGAGCGTAGGAGTGAGTCTACCCCTGTATATGGACCCAAAGAACAGCTAACTCATATTCAACATATTTTTGGGTCTAAACCCAAGTACCATTACAGCAGTGAACAGTCTAAGATTGCTGTATCTTACATGTCACATTCCAAGACTTTTAGACTAATACATTTTTTGGACACAACACAAAATTGATCAGTTTTGTGTAGTGTGTTTCCTTGATTGATGAAGCCTTCTGGATGGAAGGTGAAACGTTTCAGGAAAAAAAAAAAAAAAAAACTGTCCAGATGACCTGACAAAATTGTTGTATAACAACCAAAATTATAAAGATTGTACAAGATTGTCTATATAAAAATATTTCAAATATAAATGTTGAAATGCTAATGTTGTATTTTTCAATTACAAAATACTTTTCAATGCCGACGGTAAAGCAGCACAATTCTGACAGCATACCTGCTTTCAAGAACTCTGACAATGGTCCAATGTTTAATTGATTTATTTGTTTCAGTGGCTGTGCGGCGTAATCGTCCAACTTCGACTGCAACCGACAGGGAGACAGATGTCAGAATTACCAAATGGCTGCAAAATGCTCCAGTTCGTAATGGTGGGAGAAACGAAAGAATGAAAAGGAAGGAAAGTTTGAGTGTCCAGCAGACAACAATAGAGGACTTTTAGGTTTTGAGGACATGTTGTTAAACTTTTGTGTTAGCACACATGAGTTTTGCACTGAAGAAATTACTATTTTTGCCATGTTGTTTGTTGTTCAGATTTCAGTTTTACTGTTCTCTTGATTGGACACATAACTGATAAAGTTACAAAATAAATTTTAATGCAAGTATCAGTACTTAATGCAATTTTCAAATCAAAATGTTCTATGATGTTACATATTGGACTTATTATATATATAGTATACATATACATACATATACATATAGACTTACATATACACACACACACACACATATCTATCTATCTATCTATCTATCTATCTATATATATATATATATATATATATATATATATATATTTAAAAACTTTTAAAAAGTGTTTGATAAACTCATCACCCTGCTCATAAATTGTTGGTTATGAATAGGCAAACTCCAAATTTCATATTTTGAAACTCTTCATAGTGGCATGTTTCATTTGTGTCCTTTCACAAATGCTTATAAGTCATATCAGGTACATGAGATTGATATGGTCATTAACATTGGCAGTCTTGTTGAAAAATTGATATGACAGTACTGAGACATTAATTTTCCAAGGTACTACTTGTCACCATTCCTACTATAGTGATGACAAGTATGGATCAACACAACTCCATGAGTCATATGTCTTAACCTGACATGTTTCTTGAATTAGAGGTGCTAAGGATTTGAACCTTTCCCAGCAACTGCTGCTACCGCTGCATTTATGCCCAATAAAATGTTTATTAGAGAAGATACCTCAATTGTCATATACTTATACCACAGCAATACAAAGGACCCTCTGAATAGGATGTTTTAAACTTGCAACTGAATCATAAAAGTGAAACACGTTTCAGTTTGGTCTCAATATTTGGCTACCAATGAGTACATCTGACATGTATACTTTGTTATTCCCTGATACATTAGATATTACTGGACTCCACAATATATTGATAATTTATTATTTTCACAACATCAGTCTTCACAATATAAATATCCAAAAAGACTGCTTGGTGACCATTATATTCCACAAACTAAGTATTTATGCACTCACTGCCAATAATATATTTGGCCAGTCCGAAGGACCCTCACTGCCCTTGATTCTTACACCGTTTTAGATGATAGTGGCTTAAAGTCAAACATAAGCCAAGTGTTGTCGCCAAAGTGATGACAGAAACAAAGATGAAAATATGTGTTAATTTCAACTAACATCATCATCAAAAGATTTATAATGAAGATGTAAAATATTTGTTACTGCCAGATATAGTAAATAATTATTTGATAAGGTTACACGATATATTGATAAATCATTGTTATAGTTAGGAGAAACTGTCCAGATGACCTGACTGAAAAATGTTGGATTGTATACCTGGATTATTGAGCATGGACTTTGTTGTTTTCAACCAGTTTGACAAGACTGTCAACAAGGAAGAGGGCCGGCAATGGAGGAGGGGGCGTACCAAAGAGACCATCTTATCACAAGCAGAACTGGTTTGTTCCACTTTGGAGTAAGCTGTTGGGGGAAGAATCAGTTTTGTTGTGTGTTTCCTTGATTGATGAAGCCTTCCGGACCGAAGGCGAAACGTTTCAGCACAAAAAAAAGAAACTGTCCGTATGACCTGACTGAAAAATGTTGCATTGTTATAGTTAATACCAATAATTCAAAAGACTGACTGAATCCAATTACTTGCAGACTTTCATATTGCAAATGGCATGCATTGATGCTTTTTTTTTCTATCCTATTATTGACCAATCAGATGAATCTTCATTGCCATATGCCCAGTGAGGGAGGCAGTTCATCCTACAACCTTCATTTGTTCCCTTTGACTGCTCCTGACACTTATCACTGGAAGAGAAATTTAGTCGTATGTTTCTTAACATGCCTGTCCTCTTTTCGTGAAGGCAGCAGTTAGGCAGATTGTTCAACTTCCCTTTCTTCAGAGCTGAAATTATCACCGTCTCTCAGGAGACAGTAAATGTTTCACCCTAGAAACATGTTGCAAACTGATCTTTGAGGATTAGATGCATTTTGCCCCAAAAGAACATTTTATAAATGTGGGCATCCAAAAAAGTTCAATCTGGTCCTCTGGACATTCAAAAAAA